TGCTCTATCTCGGCGTTTACCTCTCTGTCATGCATCCGTCTCTGCTGGAGAACTGGCACGGTTTACAGGGCAGGGTGACGGAGTGGCTCCGGAAATGGACAGGTCTACTCCGGTGCCTCTCTCTTCGAGGGCCTCTGCAGGGGTCCTCCACCTGCCCCTGGCGGAGGGAGGGCAGGGCCTGAAGTGCCTATGCACTCCGGTCCATGTCTTCTGCCTCCAGGCCCTGCAGAGTCTCCTTTATGGTGCAGGTAATCCGGCGTGGAGAGTACTGGCACATGCCTTCCTGCACTGCTTCCAACAGCTCCTTTATCTGGATCGGAGAGGTCTTCCATGAGACCTCTCCGGGATGCCGGTCTTCCACCAGGACCTCCTCCGGACCTGGAAACTGTTCTCAGTGACCAGGTCCATGGCGGCCACTAAGGGAGCTGATCTCCTCGCGGAGCCCCTGCTACACAATCCCTAGATCCGTGTGCAGGTGGCGGAGTCCCCCTCAGTGCGCCAGAGTCAGAGACCTCCTGGATTACGACCAGGGAGACTGGCTGGATCCCCTGACGCTCGCTCGGCGTATGGGGCTCTCCAGGCCTTGTACTTCCCGGCACGTACTTCAGGAGGTAAGGGCCGCTTTGCCGCCCGCTGCTCAGGCTTACCTCGACTGGGTCCTGCACAAGGGCAAGCCCCGCCCACCCTCCACCCCAGGCCCTCCGGACCTTTTCATCAGGCCCCTGCCCCGTGGACCCAATTGGCCCTTCTCCATGACCTGGCTGCATGATCTGCAGCCGGTCTGCTTCCAAACCGCGCCAAGGAAACACCTATACACGCTTGTGCGCCACACTCTTCACTTCCTCACCCTTGTGTCCTACCCTGACACAAAATGGCGGGACCACTTGCCACCTCTAGAGGGTGAGAAGCCCTGGTGGGCCAGCCTATACTCCACCCTGGTCCCAAGGCCTGCCGGGGATATCAGCTGGCGGCTCCTTCACAGGGCCGTGAGAACAGGTGTGTTTTTGGCACAGTTTACCACTGTCCCAGACACGTGCCCCTTCTGCAGCGTGAGGGAGACCCTGGCGCACGTTTACTTGGAGTGTGCCAGGTTGCAGCCCCTATACTGGCTCCTCACGAATCTTCTGTTACGTTTCTAGCTGCACTTTTCCCCTCACCTCCTTCTCTATGAACTCCCTACCCGTGGCCCCACAAAGTCACGGGACCGCCTGGTCAACCTCCTCCTGGCCCTGGCTAAAACAGCCATCTATAAAGCCAGGGAGAGGATGTTGGCGGACGGAGACTCCTGTGACTGTGGGGCCTGTTTCCGATCCTCTGTCCATTCATGTATCCGGGCAGAGTTCCTCTGGGCAGAATCCACTGGCTCCCTTGATGCCTTTGAGGAGCAGTGGGCGCTGTCCGGGGTTCTCTGCTTGGTGTCCCCATCAGATTCCCTTCTTTTGACCCTCTGACCGCACTCCTGTCAAAAAAAACAAACAACAACAACACACCTGCAGGGATGGTCCTCATGCCCTGCGTCCCTAGCTCCTCCCGACCATATACAGGCAGTGCTTCCTCAACCCCCTCGGTTCCTTTGCACCTAGTGTCAGAAGTACAGACTCTTATGCAGAGGGGATGAAGTGTACATCATGGAATAAATCTCTGCATCACACCTCCAAGAACAAAAGTTACAGGTAGGTAACTGCTTTTCTTCTTTGAGTATATGTAGCCATATATTCCACTTAGATCCTTGGTAAACCCTGCCAATTTCTCTATGGTGGGCTCCCTCCTTTCACCTTGCAGGAACAGATTAATAGGTTAACATTTGGGGAACCTGGAAGTAAGCAACAGAAAGGCTACTCTGGGACCCCTGAATAGGTTCTTGAGGTAACACGGTGCCAACATTATTGGTATGCCCCATGGCCAGAACCAGAGTTGACAGTACAGGCTGTCATTGCTCTTGGAGCAGTTAGACAGACCTGGGGCATGCTGTGTGCTAGTGGGGTTATGATGCCAGTCAACAGTCTTTTTAGAAGTTGAGGAAGAGTTTTCCCAAGCACTGGAAGGCCTGGTCTACACTATGACTTTAATTCGGATTTAGCAGTGTTAAATCGAATTAATCCTGCACCCGTCCACACAACGAAGCCATTTATTTCGAAATAAAGGGCTCTTAAAATCGATTTCTGTACTCCACCCCGATGAGCGGAGTAGTGCCAAAATCGATATTGTCATTTCGAATTAGGGTTAGTGTGGCCGCAATTCGATGGTATTGGCCTCCGGGAGCTATCCCACTGTGCACCATTGTGACCGCTCTGGACAGCAATCTGAACTCGGATGCACTGGCCAGGTAGACAGGAAAAGCCCCGCGAACATTTGAATTTCATTTCCTGTTTGTCCAGTGTGGAGAGCACAGGTGACCACAGATAGCTCATCAGCACAGGTAACCATGCAGTCCGATAATCGAAAAAGCACCAGCATGGACGTACGGGAGGTACTGGATCTGATTGCTATATGGGGAGAGGATTCAGTGCTAGCAGAACTTAGTTCCAAAAGACAAAATGCTAAAACTTTTGAAAAAATCTCCAAGGGCATGATGGAGAGAGGCCACAATAGGGACTCAGATCAGTGCCGCGTGAAAGTCAAGGAGCTCAGACAAGCCTATCAAAAAACAAAGGAGGCAAACGGTCGCTCCGGGTCAGAGCCGCGGACATGACGCTTCTACATCGAGCTGCATGCAGTTCTAGGGGGGGCCGCCACCACTACCCCACCTCTGACCATGGATTCCGAGGTGGGGGTAATCTCATCAGCTACACCTGAGGATTCTGCGGACAGGGAAAAGGAGGAGGAGGAGGACGACGACGAGCTTGCAGAGAGCACACAGCACTCCATTCTCCCCAACAGCCAGGATCTTTTTCTCAGCCTGGCTGAAGTACCCTCTCAACCCTCCCAAGCCAGTACCCAAGACCATGACCCCATGGAAGGGACCTCAGGTGAGTTTACCTTTTAAAATATAAAACTTGTTTTAAAAGCAAGCGTTTTTAAATGATTACTTTGCCCTGAGGACTTGAGATGCATTCGCGGCCAGTACAGCTACTGGAAAAGTCTGTTAACGTGTCTGGGGATGGAGCAGAAATCCTCCAGGGACATCTCCATGAAGCTCTCCTGGAGGTACTCCAAAAGCCTTGCCACAAGGTTTCTGGGCAGTGCAGCCTTATTCCGTCCTCCATGGTAGGACACTTGACCACACAACGCTTGCAACAAGTAATCTGGTATCATTGCATGACAAAGCCTGGCAGCGTATGGTCCCGGTGTTTGCTGGCATTCAAGCAACATCCGTTCTTTATCTCGCTGTGTAATCCTCAGGAGAGCGATATCGCTCATGGTAACCTGGTTGAAATACGGGAATTTAATTAAGGGGACAGAGGTGGCTGTTCCTACTGGGCTGTTTGCCTGTGGCTGAAAAGAAATCCTTCCCTGCAGTTAGCCAAGTGCGGGGGGTGGGGGAGAGGGAATTGGCCCTGAGCTTTTTGCGTTTGGCTAGCAGGGATCTTCCCTGATACCAGCCACACGGTGGGGGGAGGGGTAAAGCGATCATCCCAGAGAATTCATGGCGGGGTGGGGGATGTTAGTTTGGTTCCTGCAGGGATCTTCCCTGATACCAGCCACGCGGTGGGGGGAGGGATAAAGCGATCATCCAGAGAATTGGATTGGGGGGAGGGTTAGTTTGTTTTCTGCTGCTGAAGGTTAACAGGAAAACTGCAGCACTCAACGGGCTTTGCTTGGTATGTGGGAAAGGAGGGCGCAGAAGCCGAAAGACAATGACTTACCATGGTCGTATGCAAACCAAATTCTGTAGCCCGGACCTGCGTCTGTGATCTCTAGCAGCAAAGCCATAGGCACTCACTATTAAGAGGCAAAATGCGACCTTGCACAGAAATCACATGTGCTATGTAATGTGAATAGTGTTCGTCACCGTGAAAGAGTATAAGCATTGTTCTGCAAAATGTATCTTTTTAAAAAATTCTCTCCTTTTTCCCCTCCCTCCAGCAGCTGCAAATTTTTCAAGCCTCCCTCCTCCGTCCCTAAGGCTATCTCAGATAAGGCGTCGGAAAAAGAAGACGCAAGACGAGATGTTCGCAGAAATCATGGAATCCACCCGCAGTGAAAGAGCTCATCTGAATGAGTGGAAGGACATGGTTTCAAAGTATAGGAAAGAAGCCAGTGAACGTGAGGACAGGAGGGACCAATGTGAGAACAGGAGGGACCAACGTGAGGAGAGGAGGGACGCTTGAGATGAGAGGGGGCGGCAGGAAGATCAGAGGAGGCAGAGATGCAACGCTGGGGCTGCTGCATGAGCAAACAGACATACTCTGGCGTCTGGTGGAGCTTCAGGAACGGCAGCAGGATAGAGTGCCACTACAGCCCCTGTATAACCCCCTCCTCCCCTCCTCATGTTCCATAGCCTCCTCACCCAGACATGTAAGAACGTGGGGGGGGGGGAGGGGGCTCCATACACCCTCCCATTCCACCCCAGTGGACAGCCAAGCAAAAGGCTGTCATTTTTTTAACCTTTTTTAGTAGCCTTTTCCTTCCCGCCAATCCTCCTCCCAAACCCCACCCGGGTTCTCTCCCTCTTTTTATAATCAATTAATAAAGAATAAATGATTTTTAAATGATAGTGACTTTATTTCCTTTGAAAGTAAGCTGGGAGAAGGGGGAGGGTGGGTTCCTTATAGAGAATGAGTCAATAAAAGGGGTGGGTTTTCATGAAGGAGAAACAAACAGAAATTTCACACTGTAGCCTGACCAGTCATGAAGCTGGTTTTCAAAGCTTCTCTGATGCGCAGCGCTTCCTGGTGTGATCTTCTAATCGCCCTGGTGTCTGGCTGCCCGTAATCAGCAGCCAGGCGATTTGCCTCAGCCTCCTACCCCGCCATAAA